GGGGGGGGATGAAATCGTAATAGAGCGAGTCAGCAGTTTTTGTTAAAATTTTATTCGGTTCAGCTTGAGGAGATATATCGTCCTACGTCATCCCTCTCCTGCTGGCTCTTCGTATCGTGGTCCAGAGTCTTTTTTCTCGGTTCTTCTCTTTCCCATCCTTTATCCCCCTTACGGTAGTATCCTTGTCTGTTTCTTCGTTCCGCTGTTCCCACTCCCGATACCTACTCCTGGCAGTACTGCAACGTCTGGAAGAGGTCCTCAGCATCTCTCACGGTCCACGCCGTCAAAGATTGCATCTAAAATCTTGTATTTATTATGATGGGCCCATCTTACGTCTTGGTTCTTGCGTCGAAAAGCCATCCCGTGGACCTGTGGGTATGATCGCTTTAGCTTCTTCTGGAGTCTTTTTTTTAATAAGCCAAGGTTAGGTTAGACACTTTGCTTAAGTGACTTTTGACCCAAGATCGTTTACCACGTGTAAAGGGTCATCAGGTCTTTAGCCATTTTCAGTTATGCATTTGATAAAGGCTTTCTTCACTTTCACTCCGAATCGCAATCGTACCCTGAATTCTCTAGAGATGCTTCTCCCGGTGTTGCTCTTGCGGTTTTCTTCCCCCGGAAACCACGTGCCACCACGACTCATCCACGGGCGCTGGAAACGCCGGAACCCGCGACATCCGTTTTCGCAATCCTATCGTGACACTTTCCGCTAATTCCTTTTTTCGAATGCTCAAAAATTTAATATAGATTTTTTAATACGAGCGGCGGGGTATCGTCGCCATTTTGTTACAGGATACAGATTTCTAAAAGAGCAATCACGATGAATTGATAATTAATTTATGGTCATTGTAGATTTTTCAATTAATACATACAATCAGACAGATGTTCGTATTACGGCAGAATGATCGAGTAGTTAAAAATAATCTTAATACATATAGCATAATAATTGTATAAAATTCCCATGTCGATTGTTGCATCTGCAAAAGTTAACTACTTTGATGGAGTTTCTTCCTTATCGACGTACAATCTGATAAGAATTCAGGTTTAGCAAAGCGAAAGATCGATCTGAATTAACGAAGAAGATAGCGGGGCGATAAAAGTATCAGTGCTACTGGTTAGCTTCGATACAAGTGATATTAAAAGTAAGGCTGATATCCAACGTACTTTTTTAAAAACTTTTCGTTAACTCAAACTTATACGATCCTTCGCCACGACCCATTACGAAGATATTAAAGTAGCTATACTCCCGAAAAAAATCAACTACGTATACCATAGCATCAAACGCGTAAGAGCTGGATTCCTGTAGGAGTTTGTGCAAACGATATGCAGCCGGTTCCTATCATATTCCAGGATCTTTCATGCGGCGCGCGCGGCATCAGCATCGGCGTCGGTATAAAGAATTTTCACTCGTCTCCAAGTTTCTCCTCTCATTCTCCCGCCCGCGCACTGTCTCTCTCTCTCTCACTCTTCACCGACGTCGGAGAAACGAGATTACGCCGATGTGTGTAGTCCGGAGATATACGTGTGCGCGGGCAGCATCGGCGGCGGCAACATGAAGGTTTCCTACACGGCTCGTACACCCACCAGCTCGCGCAATGGTTCCCGACGATGTGCGTGACCGTCCGTGTGCGCGTCCCAACCTAACCCGGTTGCCGGTTCTCCAGGCAGGCCGATGTATTTGGTGGGGGTAGTCCGCGCATGCGCGTGTCTTGCTTTATCGAGCCACGGAGGGGCAGACGGCGCTACGGGGTCGGGGCGTAAAATGCAGGGCGAGGGGTCTGGTGGGGGACACGTTATCGAGTGGTGGGGGGGGTTCCTGCCACTCGGCGCGATAGGGGTGGGGGCGCTGCCGTCGGGCAGTCGCTGTCGCGCCAGGCTCCTGTTAGCCAAGCAGTCGCAATTCCGTCGCCTAACCAGTATTGCTCGCCTACCTTTTATCCTCTCAATCGCATCAAGGCTTCCGTCAACTGCATATCTCTGCCCGTCAGTCGGTCCGTCGTCATCTATCCGCGAGTGGTAGTAACGTCTGAGCCCAGTGAGAACGAGATCGAGGCTGCTATGAGTCGGAAGAGTGGTCGCATGCATCCGGGCCGGCGTCAGTGATTGTGCCACAGAGTCAGTGAGAGTCGAGAGTAGTGAAGTCGCACCGGGTTTTACACCTTTTATGTTCCGTCGGACGAGCGAGCCGGGCTTCCCGTTTAAAAGGTGCGATAAACATCAGTGTATCGTCGTTATGGTGAAAACGGGAAACGAGGAAGCCACTTTGTTCGATTAAACCTGTCGTCCTGAGTACACAAGATATCGTGGCCGATCACTCCCGCGTGTCCCGGCACAAGGTATACTTTATACACAGAAAATATATGATAAAGTGCTCTGTTGGATTGTGAATTTTATATCGCCGACTGGATCAATTCCCCTGTGCTCCCTTGCTCTAAGGTTGGTACGACACGCGTGACCTTTCTTGGGGCACAACCCCTAAGGAATAATATCCCCCCAATTATGTCTGTCTTATTGAACAACGTGGCGTTGTTACCGTTACGTCATCGTCGACAAATGCATCTCTCTCTGGCGGTCTAATTAGTTTACGTTCCCATGTCGTCGTAGAACTATGGCACATAATTCTTCAGGCCTTGATAATTCGACACTGTCCCTCTCTCTACTATCCTATCTCCTTTGATCTGTCTATCTCCCTCTCTCTCTCTCCCCTAATCCTACAGATCCCTTCGAATTCAGCCTGGTGCCACGTTCGCTCACGTCCCTGTCGCCTGATGTCCCACGAAACACGTCTTACTACGTTATCCGTCGACCAGTTAAATTTCAAATAGTTACAGTGAAGTCGACGCTTGCAACGTACGGACGCGTCACGTTGTTACGCGAAACGATGCAATGACAACGCAGTAAGGTGACGTCGCGAAAGGTTGCGTTGAAAATACCAGGAGATGTGGAGTAAGCACGAATGGTGTATATATGGTGGTTTTACTTGAACATACATTATACTTGGTAAACGGGCAACGTCTAGGCTTCTGGCTGCTGGCTTGACTCGTGTATATACAATTACGTATAGTGATAAGAATACGCACTCATTTCCACACGTACGCCCACGACATAAGAATACGTATGAGTATCCGTGTGTGTAACCACATGCTACAAGATGAACATTCGCGTAATAACGCGGCGTGACAAACGCGACAGTTATCCTCGTAGTCTTCTTTTCATTTCATCTTTCTCTTCGTTCCTCTTTGTGCTATGGCAGGAGTGACTGCGTGCGTGGTATTTTTTTGTTTTTATTGCTGAAAGAAAAAAAAAATTGACAAATTGTGCCATCAAACGCTCGTAAAATGCCTCGTTGTTGCTTTTTTTTTTCAAAATTGTTTCATCATTCGAAAAAATCGTTGCTTCCCTCTCGTATATCATTGGTGAATGAATGTCAATGTTCGACAGTGGATCATTATGATTGATTCTTATTATAAAATTGCGAAAGGACACTTGCCAAGGTTTTGGACAAAATTCTGTGCTACTTGCGTTATTTTCCCCGAAAGTCTCATACTTGAGTACTTTTTTTTTTTTTTCATATGTAGAAACAGTCGCGTGATAATGACTCCACGAAATATATGTGTAACGTATTTGTGTACGGGGATAAAAAACGAACCGTTGGACTTTAAGTGAATTAATGTATATATGTATAGTTGGAAAGGTATAATTTTATAAAGTATCGTAGAATGCCAAAATGGAATATATGCAATTATTATTTAATTATACTATTTTTGTTTGGGATTTTAACTCTTTTTTCACTGTCACAAATATATACATACACACGACGTGAAACATTCAGCTGTCGAGTTGTCAAAATTCTCAGGCCACTAATGCGTTTCTAACACGTGAAATTATCTTCGTGCGGAGAGAGGTTATATATCCATTTACTATATATACACATATATACTGAGGTCTGTCGTGTAATTTTCTTCTTTTTAACTTTTACTGACCTTCCGGTAGATTTTTTTTTTCGTTCTTTCTCGCAGTTGGCTGGCATACTTTTGGAAACGGAAGCCCGGCAAAAAAAGCGTCGCCGTCGCGGTGCCTCGCTTGAGCCTGATAACCAGTACGAACGGGATGTAAAGTGGGCACTGCGCATGCGCGCGCGTAACAGCACGTTACATTACGCAGAGTTACGTAAGGCGCGTTCGCGTTAAGCGTTTTTGTCGCTGTCGCTGTCAAAAGTGCGACCTTTGCCGCTGTCTAGCTAACCCTCGTGATTCTTACATTGTATGTGTGTATGTATATATATATGTATATATATATATATTCCAAAAAGATTCCCTTTGGTTATTCGTTCATCCCTAGGGAAAAGTGCCAGCAGTGCTTTTCGGCTTTTTCTTACGTCACTTCCCGAAGTAATCGTCGCCATGGAAAAGAAAATCTCGGTCGCAAGAGCAACGACACACCGAAACTAAGGGAATCCGTGATATTTTTCAGTATCGCCGCGTGACATAAATTTCGAGTTTTTTTTTTTAAATAAATTTTCGACTCGACCTGTGATATTTCGTGGGAAATTTAAGAAAGAAAAAAAAAATGTACGTTATCACTGTATTTTGCAGCAGAGTCGCATGTCAGTCTTTGAGAATAAAAATCAGCAGATTAAATTTTGCGAACGACCTTCGACCTCCTACGGTTTAAATTATACGTGAGATTATTTATACTCGTCGCCAGGATATTTCGTTAAGCCGTATATCCATTACACGACAGCCAGGAATAAACATAGTACGGATCCTGCGAAGGATGAACATTAATTTTACCCTTTACAATGTATTTTGGGACATCTGCAATGTTCATTAGTCTTTTCCCATGCTTTTGTAATTTTGCTAATATTTTTTTTGCCTTGCCAGTATTGTATTTCGCGCTCGTTATCCGTGGGAGGCAATATTGGCCAGTCGGAGGGAGACCATCTTTGTCTGTCAGGTTAGACCGGGTGTCGCACTTCTTCACGTTCAAGGTTTCTATTGATTTATTTTTAACGTTCTCTATTCTTTATCTTCCCGCACTGTGTCGCTCTCTCCGTCATTGTCTCTCTGCGTATATTTCTCCTGTTTTTTTTCTCTTTGATACGTGACGTGTCGGAACAAAAAAAAAATTTCTATGCAAATTTTATACTTAGGGTGGATAAATTTTTTTTAAATTTTGCAAATTAAAAATAATCACCGGGTATACTGGATTTAGGCACCTAACGAGAACAGGTGCGAATTCATATCGCAATTTCGATCTTCCAATGAGATATGCGTGTATTTTGGCAAAAGTTCGTACTGTTAGGTTAGGTTAGGTTTACTAGTGATTCTCGGCTAATGCGGTAAACGAGCACAGGGTCCTGGCATGCCAAAGAGTACATACAAACGGAAAAAGAAATTGAGATGGACGGTCGGAGCGGACCAAGGAGAATCTAGAGTGTGTGAAAGAGAGAGAGAGACACAAGAAAAGTAATGCCGGTTACGTAAATCGATTTGTTGAAACACCTGGCGCCTCGTTTACGTACATTTTGAACGTGACGATTTGTTTCCATAAGAGGGTACGAAGTTCATTCTATTCGTTTCATATATTTTTTTTTCCTCCCATTTACTATCTCTCTCTCTTTCATTCCTCGTCCATCTCTTCTCCCATATAACCCAGAGATTATCATCACGAGAAGTAAGACTGGAGTTATTATAATTTTCAAAAAAAAAAAAAAAAAATCTCGTATCTCTTCTCGCCTTAAAGTCTAACGACCTTTCGCCGCGTTCTCAAAAATCACTTTCTCGGTATCTATATCCTTAATCGTAAGTTGCTAAAACTTACCTATGGTCTAATACGTACGGACGTGTGTGGATGTACGACCAGTGTCGGATTTTCGTAAAAAAATTTTTTCAACTATTTCGAAATTACAAATTGCAGATTTTTTTTTTTTCAAATTATGCCCATATAACTATTGCATACATAGTTGATTGCTCTTCGATTTGAAGGACAAACAGAATATACACATATACCTTACACGTTTTTCTCGTTTGATCGATATCGCAAGGATTTCGATAAATGTTTTCTCATTTTCTTTCGTTTTTCTTTAATCCCACCTTTCATTCTTTAAACATTATTCCATTCCACTCAAAACCCGACAGGGTATCGGTAACCGCATCGATATAACCTTCCCAGCTTCCATCTGGACCATTTCGCAGAATCGAGTTTACCCAGGTTGCATTGCCTTGCTTTCTCTCCGCCGATGCTTCCTCCCTTGCACTTCTTTTTTACGATCAAACGTGACTACGTTCCTAGGGGTTTAGACACCGTCGATAAACTTACAGAGGTCAGCGATAATCCTCCGATGTGTTCACCCAACTGGATTCGCCCTTCCCCATATAGATATACATACACCCAACAAATCCAGATACCCAGTCACGAGCGTGCAATGCAAATAAATTGAAATTAACATTTCGGATCGGTTTTATCTTGAGCCAAAAAAAAAAAAAGTTTCACAATTTTTCAAACCCAACAGACAAATCTCATAGGAACGTAATAACCAATATTACCCAGGATACAGTAGCGTCCTCAAGGTACAGCAAATCGAGCACCTAGTTACAAAAAATAAAAGGCAAGAAAAAAAAAAGTAAACTAATACGAGCACTCCGTGTAACACGAGCTCTTAAAGCTCAAAGCTTAGATATAACCTCCGTGTAGGTGGGTGCGTCTCGTTTTAATTTTAGCCTCGTGACAGGCCCGCTCCCGCGAGGGAGCGGGTGGCGTTGACCTGCCAACATAACCTACAAATATTTCTCTCGCGCCCGGAGCGATACATCAACGTTAATCCTCGCTCGGCCTGTCCCGCTTTTGCTCCCTTCGACCGACTCGCCACCTACCTCGCTATATACTACTACTTATATATACCATACTTACTGGTACTGCCTACCACTAGTATCGTCACTGCTACTGCCGCTACTAATACTCGGAGCGTCCCTATACTCGCTACCGGTACCCATCGTCTTTCCTCGAGATCCAATCCTCTTCTTCTGGCCGTACCTTCTCCTACTCCCAGTCCCCCTCCCCGACGTCCCTTCCCCTCCCGGCCCTCTCGCCCCAGTCAGACTTTCGTCATTGCCCCGGAGTTCGGGCGGCAGCCTACCTAGGAAATTGCACGATTCCAAATTTCACCGGATCGTCCAACTTCCGCTTTCAAGATGTAGAGAGCCTACCTACTCTGTGATAAATATATACGTACATATACGTGTGCTTGGCCCGAGGACACCAGATAACCGCTAATAGCCTTTACTTGGGTACGTGCGGGTACGTAGCCTGTTTTAGGTGTGACGTATGCAGACCCGTAGATATATAGTACAGGGTGCCGACGGTATATATATAGTCCAGTAGCTCGATCACGTGTCGTATGTGAAACAGCTGACTTTATCAGAGAAAAATTTATT